TGGGTGATAGAAAATCAGGAATCTCCGATTATAGAGTTTCCTTTTTTAGATAGTTGCTATTTTTTCTCTCCGAAATCCGTGTATATATAGTCCATCAAAGACTCTTGTAAATTACACAAATTCAATAGCCATTTTTTTTTCTTGACTTGCCTTCATTGCAGTCTCCTTTCTTGACAAACTGTTTAACCAGTTTTTTCTTGACCAATTTTTTTCCCCTTTTCTCTCTCGATCCTTCATAACCAATTGTTAAAGGATGTCAGAAATGATCACTTCAACTCCTTCAGTTCAACTAGCCCAACAACAAGCGGAAGAATAGGTTCAGCGCTCCATAAGTGAATTACAGAATATTCAAGCAACATATCGACTCAAAGGTAGAAACTACTTGAAATGGTCTCAATTGGTTCGGACCTTTCTAAAAGGGAAAGGAAAATTATGTCATTTATTAGGGACTGGACCGAAGAAAGGTGAGGCCGGTTTTGAAGCATGGGATGAAGAGGTTTCCATGATCATGTCCTGGTTGTGGAATTCCATGACGCCTGAAATCAGTGACACATGTATGTTCCTACCAACCGCAAAGGCAATCTGCGATGCACTGAATCAAACCTATTCTAAAGTCCATGATGCAGCGCTGATATACGAAATCAAGACCAAGACGGCAGCCACAAAACAGGGGAGTAAACTGTGACTGAATATGCTAATTCCCTACAAAACCAGTGGCAATAACTGGATTATTATAGGGTGATTGATTTGAAATGCAGTGAATGTGCAAGGGCAATTAAAAAATTCATAGAAAGAGATCGGGTTTATGATTTTCTTGCAGGTTTAAATTCTGAATTCGATCAAGTGAGAATTCAGATTCTGGGCAAGGTGGAGGTACCGTCTCTTAATGAGACAATTTTGTTGATTCAAGCTGTGAAGAGATTCGGAGAGGAGTTATGCTTGAACCTAAACTGGTTGACTGCTCTGCACTCGCAACTTTTGGTAACAAACAACATGGTCTCATCTTTGGAGCAGCCACCAAAAGCTGAGCATGAAAAGGTAGAAGTGTCAAAGGGAACGAATCGTAATGATCTCTGGTGTACTTACTGTAGAATGCTGAGGCATACAAGTGATCGCTGCTGGAAATTACATGGGAAACCCTCAACAGCCAGCCGTAAGTGGGAAAATAAAGGAGGGCAGCAGCAACGACAACAGGGTCAGGCCCATATGACCTCACAAGTGAACCAGGATCGGGGCACAAGAACATGGAGGGTTTAACAGTGAAGAAATAGAGAAGTTGAGGAACCTGCTGGGAACTCTTGAGAAACCTTCCTCCATCGCGTGTTCTATAGCTCTCTCGGGTAAGCTTTCATTCTCTCTTGGACTAAATGTTTCTGATAAATTGGTTGGAAATTCATGGATTATAGACTCGGGAGCCACAGATCACATGACATATGCCTCAAATCAATTCAACACTTTCACCCCATGTCCGAGTAATAGAAAAATCACTGTTGCCGATGGAACCACAACCACAGTAGCCGGGTTAGGGGATGTCCATATCACACCTAGTCTAGTCCTTAAAAATGTTCTACATGTTCCTAAATTATCCACCAACCTTGTGTCCATTCAACAGCTTACAAAAGACTTACATTGCCATGTTACGTTTTATCCCTCTTATTGTGAATTTCAGGACCAGGGTTCAGGGAGGAGGATTGGACTTGCTATGGAAAAGGATGCACTTTATTACCTTGAGACACCAAACATTCCAAGTATGATTAGGAGAATTTATCCTCATTGTTTTTCTCTTCTTCCAAAAAGGATGTCATATGGTTGCACCACTTTCGTCTCAGATATCCTTCTTTTGCAGTTTTAAAAATCATGTTTCCTTTGTTTAAGGGATTGGATATTATAACATTTCATTGTGATATTTGTGAGTATGCAAAACACACTCGTGTATCTTTTCCCATTAGCAATAAAAGATGTTCTTCTCCTTTGTATTTAATTCACAGTGATATATGGGGACCCTCTTCAATCCCAAATGTTTCCAGTTCACGATGGATTGTATCCTTTATTGATGATTGCACTAGAGTCCCTTGGATATTTTTGCTCAAAAAAAAATCAGATGTGAGTAATGTCTTTATCAATTTCCATACGATGATTCAAAATTAGTTTGGTACTAAAATAAAAAAGTTTAGGTCTGACAATGCAAATGACTACTTCAATCAAGTTTTGTCTCCTTTTTTCTAAAAGGAGAGAATTATTCATGAGTCATCTTGCATCACAACCCCACAACAAAATGAGGTAGCTGAAAGAAAAAACTGTCATCTCCTAAACACTACCCGAGCACTCTTGTTTCATCAAAATGTACCAAAACACTATTGGGGGGAATCAGTTCTTACTTTTGTCGATATCATAAACAAAATTCCTTCAAGGGTTTAGGGCCAAAAAGTGCAATGGAAGTTCTTTCTGAATTTTACCCTGACATTAGTGCTACAAACAATCTTACACCTAGGATAGTTGGGTGCACTTCATTTGTTCATGTCCATCACAACACCCAGGGCAAATTAGATCCTAGAGCCATTAATTGTGTCTTTGTAGGATACTCATCCACTCAAAAGGGTTACAAATATTTTCATCCTCCCACCAGGAAGCTCTATGTCTTAGCTGATGTCACATTTGCAGAAGGGAAACCGTATTTCACTAAACCTTATCTTCAGGGGGAGTCATCTATCTTGGAAGATAAGGATTTTTTCCTACTTGATCTACCGTCTTCGTCCCATTCTCTATCTCCACCTCCTGTGTCAAATTCTCAAACTGAATCTGCACCACCCATGTCCAATCAAAACTCAGAACCTATGCCTCCAGTCAGTCTCCTGTACAGGATAATAGGACACTTGATTATATACGATTCAGGAAAGGGAGGATGTACTCAAGGAAACAAGGTCTAGCTCTTGATACGGCACAAGTCCAAATCTCCAACCCAACTTTTGAGAATGAGATAACAATATCTGAACCTACTCCACCTTTACTCATAGAACATTAACTCCTTGAACCTTAAACAACTTACCAAGATTTACCCGTAGCTGTGAGAAAAGGAACTCGAGAGTACCAAAAGATCTTTCAAGAAGTTCTCACCATCCCATAGGAGCTTTCTCACGAGTCTAAAAGAAATTGCTATTCCAAACACTTTATATGAGGCATTATCTAAGAAAGAATGGAGGAAAGCTATGAGAGTTGAGATGATCTACCAAATGGGACGTGGGATTTAGTTGATCTACCAAAAGGTAGGGTGCAAATGGGTTTTTTCCTTGAAGTTTAAGGCTAATGGATCATTGGAGTGCTACAAAGCAAGGCTAGTTGCCAAAGGGTACACTCAAACGTATGGAGTTGATTATCAAGAGACTTTCGCTCCGGTTGCAAAAATGAACACCGTGAGAATCTTGTTGTCATTAGCTGCCAATTTTAATTGGGATTTACAACGGTATGATGTGAAGAACGCCTTTCTTCATGGGGACTTGAAAGAAGAAATCTATATGAGTTTCCCATCTGGGTTTGCTGGAGTTGAAGGAAATAAGGTATGCAAGTTAAGGAAGGCCTTGTATGGTTTGAAACAGTCACCCCGTGCCTGGTTTGAGAGGTTTACCAAGGTGATGTTGGCTACAGGGTACAAGCAAGGTCAGAGAGATCATACTCTTTTCATCAAGCACTCGACTTCAGGGGGAGTCACAGCCTTAATAGTTTATGTGGAGGACATTATTGTGACTGGGAGTGACGAGAAGGAGAAGCAAGTCCTGAAACAATGTTTGATCAAAGAATTCCAGATCAAGGATTTGGGGAGGTTGAAATATTTTCTCGGGATTGAGGTTGCTCATTTCAGACAAGGTATTTTCATTTCGCAGCAAAAATATCATAGAACTGGAATGCTCACAAGTAAACCAGCTGCAACACCTGTAGAGCCGAACCATAGACATGGAGAGGCTAGTGGTAGACAGGGAAATGTATCAAAGATTAGTTAGAAAACTCATCTATTTTGCACACACCCGGCTAGACTTAGCATACTCTGTGAGCGTCATCAGCCAATTCATGCATAATCCCAAGGAGTATCATCTTCAAGCTGCCTACCGTGTGCTTCATTACCTGAAAGCTAATCCTGGGAAGGGGATAATGTTCAAGAGAACCTCCGAGCTTGTTCTTGAAGCCTACACGGATGCAGATTACACAAGGTCCCCTATGGATCGGAGGTCTACTTCAGGTTATTGTACATTCCTTGGAGGCAATTTAGTGACATGGCGAAGTAAGAAGCAAAATGTTGTAGCTCAATCAAGTGCAGAAGCCGAGTTTAGAGCAATGGCACAAGGTGTCTGTGAGTTGTTATGGTTGAAGATTATATTGGAAGACTTGAAGATTAAATGGAGTGGGCCAATGAGATTCTATTGCGACAATAAATCACCAATTAGCATTGCACATAATCTAGTGCAACACGACCGAACTAAACATATCGAGATAGACAAGCATTTTATCAAGGAGAAACTAGTGAGCGGATTGATTTGCTGGCACACCATTCGTTCCTATGAGGAGTCAACTAGTAGGTGTTCATACAAAGGGACTCAATAGTACTACGTTCTAAGAAATTATTACCAAGCTGGGAATGGGTGATACCTATTCACCAGCTTGAGAAGGAGTGTGGAAAAATGTAGTTTTTTCCTCCTTGATTAGCGGTCTATTGGCACTAGGAATCGTGTGAATATTTTTTTCCTAGAGTTTAGGGATTCGGGTGATAGAAAATCAGGAATCTCCGATTATAGAGTTTCCTTTTTTAGATAGTTGCTATTTTTTCTCTCTGAAATCCGTGTATATATAATCCATCAGAGACTCTCGTAAATTACACAGATTCAATACAATTTTCTCACGTTTTCCCACTATTGCTATGTTCTATACTTGTTAATATGAGCTGTATTATCTTTTGCTGCGCTATATGTTAAACAAATCTTACATTTTACTTTTTGCTATGACTTTGACAGGTTTCAGTTGGTTACTTTATTGCTGACCTCGGGATGATCTTCTGGTTTTATCCTGATCTAGGTGGATTGGAATATGTAAGTATATAATATGTGTATATATATATATATATATATAAATATATAGGTGTGGTATTAATGGTTACTCCAATGTTTACCCATTAATGGGTATCATTGTTTTGGCCGTAAGATATTTAATCCAACATTTATAATAAATTTTATAGTTGACTAAAAAATTTATGACAATTTATAGAACTGGATTCTTATCACGTCACGTCATCAGATTTTTATATTTGGTGGTAACCACCGATAGAAACGTAAAAATGGAAAACTCATCCATATATATATATATATATATATATATTGGATTGATTATGATTGAACCCAACACAATAGAACCGAGTTGGAGTTCTATTGGATCCATTTATTATGAAGCTGTTTCTTTGTTTTCACATTTGTATTTTCTCGTATGGAGTGAATGGGCTTTGGAATTTAGATGGCATAACATTAATATTTCAGGTGGTTCATCATCTTTTGTCTTTGGCATCTATAGCATATGCCATGTTGACAGGGGAGGGGCAACTTTATACCTACATGGTTCTTATATCTGAGACAACCACTCCTGGGATCAACTTGAGATGGTAATTTTCTACTGTAAGCTAAGAGCTTTTTTATAATACTGGAAAACATATTTGCTCTAAAATACTAACATAATGTTTTTCAAATCTTTGATACATATCAATGCCATTTTGAAGGTATCTTGACACAGCTGGTATGAAGCGGTCTCGAGCATATGTCATAAATGGGGTTGTTATATTCCTTTCTTGGCTGGTATGACAAATCTATTCGTAATTGTTTGGAAACTTCGTTCTTTGTTTCTTCTGTTCTCTTGAGAAAACGCTACTTTATCTCTTATTTTGTCCATCTTTGATGTGCCTATTCCATTTCATTTTTAGGTTGCCAGAATACTCCTTTTCTTATACCTGTTTTACCATGTCTACTTGCACTACGATCAGGTAATGACCATATTCACAAAAGTTCACTTTGACAAATTTCAGGGCTGGTGAACAGATGTTAGAATCTCTGTTTTCTGAATTTGGCTATTTCACTAGAATTCAGGCTGGTGAACAGATGTTAGAATCTCTGTTTTTTGAATTTGGTTATTTTACTAGAATTCATACTTGCACATTTATTTCTAACTACCTGAAAATGTCCCTTTCCAGTTCCTAAAAAGGGGGAGGAACTTGCAAATTTAAGAGTGCAGTTGAGGGAAAATCAAAAAGTTATGCTTTAAATTTTTGAATGTACTGCTAATTACGTAAATCAAATGTCCAGAACGAAACAAATGAACAAAATTAAAAAAGGTTTATGAAATTCAAAAAACTCTCACTTCACTACCCCAAACTTCGAATTAGTCTCATTTGATTCCTTCTATAAGAGTTTCCATTAAAAACAAACGGAATATACCCAAATAAAGAGGCTAAATAACCATAAACAACAACTAATCTATTTTTTTTTCCTTTAACAATGATAAAACTTGAATTTTAACTGTAGGTTGGCACTATTCGCAAAGCTTGGGGTCGGGTTCCATGGGTGTTGAAATTCTTTATTTCAAGGAGATGAAAATCTCTAAATTTCTCATTGAAACTCTTGTATTTGTACCGTTTGCTTTTAGCAGAAATTCTAAGAGGGGATTAAGTGAGACTAGTTTAAAGTTTAGAATAGTGAAATGGGAGTTCTTAAAGATTGTGGGCAAAGCAAGAAATGAGTGTAAAGTTCGGGGGCCATGAATGGGAATAATTGAAAATAAAACTAAAATACTCAAAATGAATATGGGAGGAGATTATCATGAATTTCTACTCTGTTGTGTTCGACTGAGTACAAACTAGCTATGTTGAAAATGTTATCTTTTCTCTTGCATTAAACTATTCTCATTTGGTTAATACTACGTTACTTACTCATTAAGTAGCATCTTATTGCTTCTCACACAACAGGTTAGACAGATGCATACTTTTGGACAGATTTTAGTTCTCGTGGTGCCACTGGTGTTATCTGTCATGAACTTGATGTGGTTTGCAAAGATTTACAAGGGAATGATGAAGACATTGGCGAAGAGGCAGTGAAGGTTTTGTCTATAGGTGATGCAAGTAGTGGCAAAAAGATCATAGCAAAGAGAAAAAAAAAAAAAAGAAAAAATTGCTGAAGGATACTTTTGGTATCTCTCGTGTCCCTCTCTTTTTTCTGTTTTAACATGTACATAATAGGTGAATCCGTGAATGTTACGAATTACCCTTGATCTTATATATATAAATGTATCATTACATGCTCAGGGTAGTGATTATTGTAGTTGTATTGATGTTGTGTGTTTAAATGATGAAAATACCTTTTATCATTTAAGTTGCTATTCACTACTTGAAGGAAAGCTTGCACCAAAGATTGGTCTAACAAATTGATGAAGTTCTCAAGTAGACATTTGATTGTCTACTTGAAAGTTTGACAATAAGAGTCCAAAATTAATAAATCTTTATTTATAGATAGATAGATAGATATATGTGTATAAGATCACTAGCTATATAATTAACATGCAGAGGGAAAATAAATAGAATATAAAGGAATAGTGATAGTATTTAGCTAACTAGTTCAAAATTCTAATGGAGGTGGAAAAAGTTTCTCAGATGGTTAGGTCCAAGTTTATGTCGTTGGCTTGGATAGAGTGAACGTCTTGAATGTCACTGGAGGTACAAGTGGAATTAGAATGGGAAATACTTCGACTATTAGCTACCTGCCAAATCGCCACATCTTTTTCTTCTACTCTTGGAATTATTGGAGTATAAGGTAATGAGAGAGCACAGAATTGATGCAGCCCAAACTTTTCGTTTACCTTAGGCCGGTTGTTCAATAATGAAATATGTGTATCCTGCAGGGACAACAAGCAAAATAAAGGAACATCTTCAGTGTGTAAAAATTGCACGTCTATAAAACTGGAACTGAAATATCGGCAGTTTTGTTTTTTTTTTTTTTTTTTTTTTTTTTTTTGGAATATATCAGGAACAACATAATTACATAGAAATTATTACTATGATTTTTGCGTTATAATGATCTTATATTTCAACATGGCTAATAAAATTACGTTATATGTACAAATTTTCCTTTTGGTGATTGGAATGTAAAGCTACATATTAAATATTGCAGAGAGGTGAATCAGGCTGAGGGAAAGGCTTTCGACCTCCACAAAGGGTGATCTCGGGGGAGTGGAGCACTTGATTACGGTTCGAGCGCACTTTGACCATACTAATGAGTGCTCTCGACTCCCGGTCGATCAATTGAGCATTGAGCACTTGACCATAGGGTTTAGCGTACTTGTTTGCGGCAAAGAGTTCTCTCGGCACCTGATCAAGCAGGGTGTTAAGCGCTCGATTCATGGTTGAAAAAACCTAGCCACAATGAAGAGTAGTCAACCCATGGTCAAGTGCGAGTGGCCACAAACTTATAAAGTTATGGCTGATCACTAATGTAGGTCGTGTCACGACTTTTGCAATATTTATCTGTTGCTGAATCACAAAGTCATTACTGGCCAATAACACGAATCATTTGCAAAGGTCGTAGTCGTGGATCTTCGCACCTCACTAACCACCAAGATATCAGTGTGGATCTTTTGTGAGAGAATTCGTCGTCCATGAGTTCATTTACAGAATTAGGAGAGGGATAGAGATTAAAGAAAAGGAGGAGAGAAGAAAATTGAGACAATTAATCATTTCTTTGTCTTTTAACTTGTTTAGGTGGCAAGAAAAGCTAAACGCTATAAAAAAAAAAAAAAAAAAAAAAAAAAGTATACAATGCAATTAAACTAAAAAGGAGAATTGAAATAGGTTGACATCTTTTTTTTTTTTTTTTTTTTTAGAAAAGGACTGAATAAATTTTTTTTGAATACTTCTTAATGGTGATTGTATGCATTGTTTATTAATCGCTATTGAGAAATAAATTATTATTCTATTCTTCGTGTATAGTTCTATGCTCTTTATGGATGTATTTTTAAGTTAATAACGTAAAAAAAATTAAGGAATATTAATAACGTAAAAAACTTAAGGAGTAATGACAAAAACCTTCGCTCGTGTATTTAATGAACATGTAAGGTTGTATTTTGTGTTTCATTCATGTGCTCTTTCTTATCATATAAATTTCATTCTTGGTATCATATCCAGGAAAAGATTAACTATGTGAAAAGACACAATTACCCATTAATAAAAGAAATGACAGTTCTTTAAAGCAAACCTAAAATTAGTAACTCTGATCTCTATTTTTTTTTCCAACATTTGAGAATAATCAATTTTTTATTTCATTCAAATTCACGATAAAGTTATTGTTTTAAAAATGAAATGCACATTTTTTTTCGTAGGAGAAAATCCATTTTCCATAGTTAATGTTAACTAAATATGTGATTAGGGGTGGATTTTATGTGGTTAGAAAAATACAGGGTTGTTTTTATTATAAAAACATAAAGCATAATCTCAATATTTTTTAAAACACAAGGTATATATGAAATTCTTATATTTTGATTAAACACAAATGAGGTTTATGTCATTATCAAAAAATAAATATGAGGCTTAACTGCTAGTTGATTTGACAAAGTTTAATTTATGAGAAATGCTAGCATCAATGTTTCTATCACTTTTTTTGGCACTTTATACATTCACTATTTGACACGTGAACTCTACTATCTCACTTTTTGTTTAAATAAGAATATATTATATTAGTGGAGTGCATGTGTTAAGCAGTGAATGAAAAAGTAACAAAAAGAGTAATGCTAACATTTCTCTTTCTTTTAATTTAATTAGCATGCTATTTTCGTATTTGGAATTGAATCCGACCAGCGTCTGGATGCGGGAGGACTAAAAAAGAAGATGGTTACTTCCCCATTGTGTAATTCGAAAAAAAAAAAAAAAAAAACAGTTAATACGCATTATTGTAACAAATATAAGAATAAAATATTTTAGTTTAGCAAACTTAAATTAATCCGGATTAGAGCATGAGATTAAAATTTTGTGTACAAGTTTTCACTGCATTATTCCCTAAGACTTGTACTTAGAACTCAATATTACATTCAAGAGAATAGTAAGGATAAAATTGTCTTGAAAAATATTACTTTTTCTTAACGAAGTTTGTTTTTCTTAAATTTAAGTTAAGAAAAAAAGCATTTGCCTGACAAAAAAATACTAGCGTCCTGTGAGATTAATGTGAGATGTTTATACGTGACATTCCAGTATGAAAAAATGTGTACCTGAAGAGCGTTGTTCTCGCTAGTTTCTTCTTTTGTTTGTCGAAGTCCATCTCTTCTTTGAGAACATATTTCATGATTAAAATCCATCCACTCATTTCCTACTGGCCTGCATTTGCAATATACACAGTCCATTAAAAAAAGCAACAACTAAGAAATACAAACTTTGACTTTAATAACCGCTTAGGAATCTAAAGTAGTCACTCCCTATTTAAGTGCTATATATATATACACACACACACATATATATGATGCATGAGAATGAACTACGGCTAGCTGCATTTTAGCAAGTTATCTCTTATGGGTACTGTACAAATGTTATATATGGCTAATGGCTAGAAGATTAATATATGATCAGTATATCCTACTCTAGCTTATTTGTACATATATAAAAGGGACAAGAAAGAGGACAAATAAATAAAATCCACATGAAGTACTTATAACATGATTTTGATCATGAATCTCCCTATTTATAAGCGCCAGTAGTAATATACTTTAATTTAAACCAAAAATGCGGCATGCTGCTCGATCGATCGTCTAAAAGATTAAAATATACTGGTAGAAGTTATATATATATATATATATATATATGTATATGTATGTATGTATGTATGTATGTATGTATTTATGTATGCATGCATGAATACGTTTGCCCTAATATAGATGAGGTCACGTAATATATAGGATATTGCGTAACGTAATCACATGATTTCAGTAGTTCGTGGCTGAGATATATCGTATATTATTGTGATTGATAAAATTAGGATCAGAGAGATTATATGTATGGCGTCGACACACACACACACACACACACATATACACCTTTGAGGGAAGAAAGTTGAGAAGACTCTGCTACGATCTTGGGCATGAATTTCCTGCAAGTGCTTCATTGACGAGTACTGCCTTGTCCGTACAAAGATATCGATTTGATCACGATCTTTCATGCTTCTATACATCTAACGTCCATTCATTCCCAACAAAATATATGCAGCACTTAAAATCATTCAAATTCACAGCAAGATAATGCATTAATTCTAACTCTGTGTGTAGTCTTGTGCTAATACATACTCATGTTTTAAGAGGATACAACTTCGTGATCGGCTTCAATATGTGCTATAATTTCCAAACGACTACAAATTTAAAACTTAAAATTATATATAAGAGGTAGCTTATATCAATATGGATAAGGTTTAAAATACGTTTAATTATGTACTTGGACAGGAAGTCAACAATTTTTGCATTCTTATAATAGTTAACGAAGAACATTTCTTAATCTAAATCTACACTAATTATCGGGCTAGTTAGGGACTAGGCCATACCTATCACGCACGCAAGCGCACGCAAGAAAAAGTGATATTAGAGCCTAATATTACAAAAAACTTGGGATTCTTTAGACCATCTGGAATATAAAATTATATAATTAAATATCTTTCTCTCTGTGTTTTGCTCTAATGTGTAATATTATTTCAAATGTTTTTTTTTTTTTTTGAGGAAAATATTTTTTTCAAATGTTATATCTATCATTTATCATAGATTATAAACTTTATAACTTATATATTAAGTAAACTTTTAACGACAATATTGTTGTAATTATTAAATTAAAAAAAGTCGCACATTAACTAAACAAAATGTCAAATTTTGAAATATGCTACAATTTGACACCAAATATATAGCACATGTCAAATTTAATATTTTATTAGAGAATGATTTGTTTTTAATCAAATTAATATCAAAATTTCCCATTGACAATTACTTTAGTATTGCATTTTGTGATGCTCTAACTGATCTTTGATTTCCTTTCTGCCAAAATGACATTGCTATATGAATAAAGAATAAGAGCAAAAAAGGGAATAACTAGGCCGTATAGGTTTGGCGGCTCATCCTCCTATTCCAAATATTATTGTCTCGAAAGTATTGCTTTTAATATTCTTTCTTTAATATACTAAAGCCACCTTTTTTTGTTTTTAACAATGCCGTAATTCCTAAAGGTATCTAACTTATGCACGCCCGAGACGTATTTGAAAAATGTTAGATTACGAACTAGTCTTTTTGGAATAATAATTGGTACTAAACCAATATGCCACGGACACTCAGATCAAAGAATGAGAATGATATAGGAGTTTCATTAGAACTTTTATGCTTAATTAGCAGAATTATGTGACTCCATATGGACTTGATTTTTATCTGCTTGATATCTAAATATCGCGAGTTGTATACGGCGCTAAATTAGAAGGTTATAAATTAATATTGTATGCTTTCTAACGCGCACTTAATAACCTTATTATTGTGCATTTTTGCATTAATGTTGTTATTAGTTAGCTATGTTAATTGCTCATACTAAAATTAATGTTGTTAAAAATTCTTTTTCCTGCATATTATTACTGAACTGGAATTATTGTTGTGGGGAAAACTTCTTCTCAATATTTAGAATTTTGTACTGCATAAAAGCACTACGTCAAGAAAATCATAAAATTTGTACTTCGTTCTTCCCTTCATGGGAACTAATTTTTTCCAATAAGTGAAAATCTTTGATTGTTTTATTAAGGTTTTATAAAAGTAAATTTTGATTTAGCCCATCTAAAGCTATATAGTTTCCACAGTTTTCTTTAATCTTTTTAATATTATACCCTAGCTAGATATTTACCCCATAAATATAGAACTACACCACTACTATTTGTATACGCTTTCAAGCTAGCATCAAGAATATGCTGCCTTTTCTGATTTATGAACATGGGCTCGTTCGTACGCAATAACAGATTGGTGTTTTACAAATATTTCGCCATTTATGATCTTAATCAACTATTGATCCGTATAGATCAATTTATCAAACATATTACCTGTAGATGGCTTTTGATGTGAGAAATCTTCAGTCCCTTCACACTCATTGTCTGCAAAATTCGCTTTGGCGTTGCTTCTGCAAAATTTTAAGCAATTTCATATAAATTTGATTATGCTGAGATCCGTTTCAATCAAGCCCTAAAGTTAGTTAATAATTATTAATCGAATTCCTTTTCATTAGTTTGTTCTGTTTTTATTTATCCCAATACATGGATATGATCTTCATGTCCTTACATCTTGATGATCCTTCGATATGGCATATTTTGTGATGAAGAGATTCAATTATTTCTGTATCATTTTCTGTTATTAGTTCCTTTTATATTACCCACAAAAAAATTAAAACAGATATTATCTTTTAATTATTCCCTTAATTATCTGGAAGCTTCAGATGATCAACACAAAATTTCTTTTCAAAGAAAACATATTTGAACTCTTTGATAATATTGAAACCCTTTTAGTACTCTAATTACTACAAAATATTTGAGTATTATACTACTTACTTTCTTTTCCTCCGAGGCTTCGGACGGCATCGACAAAGAGTTCTTGAAGTTCAGGAGTCCATCGTAGGCGTGGAAACTCAGATTTGTTGTATTTTCTCACCCCGATTCTCTGGTTTTGAGCGTCTTCCATTGTTTCCACTTGGTCATGCAAGCCACAGTACATTATGAAAGCCCTCTTCAGGAACTAAAAAAGATAAATAAATAAATATATATATATATCTATATATAATTGTATTTATCAGGGAAAAAAGGAGAGAGATGTATTGTGTGAAAGGTATACTCTTCATCAATGTGAATGCATATTCACCAATTCCATATTATATATTGCTGCTTTAATTTGAAAAAAAAAAAAAAAAAAATTGTATAGTCTAAGACCATAGACTTTTGACAACATGTGCTAAAGGGCCGGTAAAAACATGCTTTACTATTTATTTATTATTATTTTACTCCTAATTATTAGTTTGGTCAGTTTGGACGTATACTATATTAGCTTATATTATTATTTTACTCCTAATTTTTTTTAAAAGCTTCTCTTTTAAGAAACATGTGTAGAAATTCTGGGTTTAGACCTTTTCCTTTTTATGCACATTCCATTAGTCTTAATATTAACTCTATATATTGATTTCTGCATAATTCATGTGGTTCTTATTACGTATGTGGCCTATAGGATTAGTCGGATAGTATAGCTAAACAATTAAGCCGAAAGATCCACAGTTCAACTTTTATCTCGCCCTTAAAAATATTGTCATACACTTTTGAGATTATTTTTAGAACTAATTTCATTTAGATGTTACCTAATCAAACAATGTCTTTTTAATACTTTTGAGATTTTTAGAACTAATTTCATTTAGATGTTACCTAATCAAACAATGTCTTTTTAATTTAGAGAGAGAGAGAGAGAGAGACTTTAGCATAACTTAAATATTGCTTCAGCGACCAAATCAAATAAGGTGAAATATCTTATTCTGTTTTGTGTACGTAATTACGTTTTAGAAAAGGATGTCATGTACTTTTTAATTCCTTTTTCATTGCTATTTTTAAAACGATTTTGACAAAAAGTACATGATATTATTAGAAAGTGAGTATTCTACTGCTAAATAATATTAGAATCGTACGATAGGAAAAGTATATAATAATCTATCTAACATTATGGATCTTCTTAGATATACATACATATATAGGCTTCAATATCCTAGCTATCACAAAATTCCCATTAAAAAAAGAGAATTTCTCTGGTAGGATAAAAAAAAAATAAACTATCGGTAATTTTTTACTTTTTAACCGTTAGATTCGTATTATAAATTGTCTGATCCAACGGTTAAAAACTGATTCTACTGATAAGAAGATCTACTGAAAAGAATTTCTTAAAGCAACACACAAGTTTTTAAATGATTTTCATTTCTAATTATATTTAGCATATAAATTTAATGATTGTATAAATGCATGTGCATGTATCATATATGTAGTATGTCAAACATGTGCGCAAACTCCTAGGATCGTTTCGTGTATGTATTTTCTTGTTCAACTTTGTGGCTAAGGATAATAAACCACAAGGGGAAAGGCAAAAGGTGAAATAAGTCAAAGTAAGGATTTAAAAGAACTAAACCCATCTCTATCTCCAATCAACATCATGTCAACAAAAGACGGTGCCTACTTTTGGACCCCATCTCTGCGTAATATTTGTACCTGCCGTGTTTAACACTACACTGCTACTTACCATGCCTTCAAAAATTCAATGTGGAAGAAGAAAAAGACGAGGCAAAATATCAAAGCCCTAGCTAATCCTACTGGATCCCGGTGTTTTTAGGAAATTATACATTAGTTGGGAAGAAAAATAAACATTCCACTGCATCCATGTTCATGGTAAATTATGGGCCTACATTTTGAAATGCAAAATGTTTTAAAACACAACCAATAGTTTGTGCAACTACGTCTAATAAAAAGTGAATCCATCCAGCGCCCTACACTATAGTTCTTTTGACAACATTGTGGCCCCTTGATCATGAGACTTTTTGACTGTTTGATCTTATGTGGGCTGGTTTTCAATTCCCATGCATGCACGTCAAATCAATGACAAATATTATGCATGCAAATACGAAAAGGTTTGCCAGTTGGTTTTGAATTTCTCTGTACTACTTTTATTGAATTACTATAGGTAGTCATTTATTTCGGACATTTTTGTTCATACAGGTTGAAGCAAAAGAAGGAATATGATCATTATCATCATGAAAGTTCACACGTACAGTCAATTTCTCAATACAATATATATATAGCCACTGCCAAGCGCCTGCACTGGCATGGGTCATTGCACTCTACAAAACAAATCCATGGAGATATATCAATTGCATGAACTTATTCGAACAATAACAATGGTAGATGCCTAAAAATTCCCTTTTCTAATTGATGAAAATGCAAAACACATGGAAAATAATCTGATCTATGTGGATCACTTATAGAATCCCTTGACTGATTTTCATGACACCGGTGGAGGGAGATCTGGGCCGGAGAGCCGGTTACAGGAGTCGGAGGGAGGTTTGGCGGAGGGCAGAGGAGGTTCGCCTCATCATTGGGTGGGGGAAGCCGGTGTCAGGGAAGTGGTCGTACGCTGGCACGGTGCGGGGAAGAACGAGACCAAATTGTCGGAGTTTTTTCGGGGGAGGAAGAAGGTGAAGTATTTTCTTTTCTTTTCTTTTTCTTTTTTATTTTGTCATATTAAAAATAATTTAGGATCTTTGTCAAAAAAAAAATTATGTACATAAATTATAATTGGTGGGTAAAAGAGTAATTTCACACTGAATTCCTCAACAACCATTATTTGTGTCTTTGACACGTGTTATTTCTATCATTTGAGTGACAAAATGAGTTATTTTATTAACCAATTAAACTTTAAAAAGAATTAATGTTATATTTTAAAGATTAAATACAAAATGTTGCAAATCATTATAGTTGGAAAGAATTTTTGTAATTAATCTTTTTTTTTTTTTAATTTGGCTAACCGACAGTAGTGATCTATGGTGAATATTCCACAACGTTCCTTCATTATTTACTAGCTACATTTAAATGCTTCTTGTCTCGGTCAATGCGGAATCTCTGAAGCAATAGATAGCTCTTGTTTATGTATGATACACATATAATTATGGATGGTCCTACAATATGACTAAGTTACATTTCTTTTATCCATATATATAAATTTTTTTTAATTTCTCCTTTGACAGATATAATGCTTTCAGATTATAGGATAGACGTTATACCTGCAAAGCATTTCTTCTTTTCCAACCATTTCCCCAACTTTACGTTGGAGACTACCTAACCTTATTAATTCGAACATGCATGAGCAAAAAAGTCACTGGTCATATTATAATATTAATAATAATAATATGTTTGCTCTTTTCTCGGCCTCCTTATCATTGAGAATGTTTTATTCTTGGAAGAATCCGCCTCTTTTCTTGAAAGATTAGGCCTTCTTTCCTAATTCCTCCAAAATGAACTCTCTCTCTCTCTCTCTCTCACAAAGTAGGTTGGACATTGTTAGTGTGGTTTCAAGCCTGACATTAATTACTATCATAATGAATCGTTTGAAACAATGTATTGGATCTCTGCCGTTCCTTTTTTTTTTTTTTTCTTTTTTTGAATCGAAATGTAGAATACGTACATATTATAGTAGTTTCTTAAAGTTTATACGCAACTAGGGCATTTCGTTTGGCCAAAAAAGTAGGGAGGAAAAGGGGTGTAGAGAAGTAAAAGATGCATCATTAACTTAAAAGAGTCATACATGTGCACGCTCGTGGAAATAATTCACATACTCACAAGACTCATCATAACTTGTTGTACTTTATTACGATGATGTTTTGAAAGGTTAGAATACAATAGTAGTATTGTAGAGCCTTAATGGTAATGAAAAAAGATGTTAATATTGTTGAATATTCTCCTCGTAAAAGAATTGTTGCTAAGAGCAATAATTATGCTTCAAATGATAATCCCCTTAACGTGAGTAATATGATTCTATCATCAATTTGATTGTTGAAGATCTCCACGCGTTGATAATTAAAGAAGGTTGCTGATTAAGATCATTCATGTGATGTTTCTGATAAATTAGGAAAGTATTTGTCGGCCAAGTTCTATATACCAAGCCTTGAAGAAGACAGACAATTTGATAATCTCAAGGGAGAAACAGAAATCCAATTAAATGTTAATTAGTTTTTTGTGGAGAAATTAATATTACGTGTTGCTAAAGATTTGTGGAGTATATTGGCTGTAAAAGAACCAGAGCTAAGAATAAGAAGATACTGACAATTATGCAAATATTGCTAATAATATGTTGGATCAAGAACGTTAATCCTATGTAGAAAAATGTTTCTAAAAGTCCCCAAGAAGTTCCTCGATCGAACGGATGATTAGTAATTTCTTGTACATGGTGTTTCCCTCTTCCAGGTTGGACAAAAAATTAATAGTGATGGTGCGACTCTGAGTTCGCCTAGTAGAGAAGATTGTGGTAGAATTTTTGAACATATGAAGGTGTTTCTAAAGGTTGTTCTGTTGGTTTCTCAAACCGGATTTTCAAAAAAAATTGTGCGGAAGCGTGGTATCGATCGAATCACATAAATCAAAATTTAATGCGATCATTATTTCATGTTAATGTAACTCAAAGATATTAAAGAAAGGAATGAGGATTTGACCGTCGTTCGATTAGGACGAAAATCTTGAACTCCTCCAACACCGTCTTAAGCTCTTAAATTCCAAGAACACCACGGTTCTTTCTCAATGTATCTCCGGATTAACGTGAACTCGAACGTGTGGGCGTTCTAATGGGTTTCTCAACACATGAGATGGATGAATAGGAAAGTCACTTATAGTTATCACTCACTTTTCTTAAAAGTATATGATGGCACTCAAGAAATTTTCTTTAGTTTTTCTTTTTCTTTCTTTCTGTTCTCTCTAGAAAAAAAAACTTTTTTTTTTCGTTACTGACTTATCCCCAGAATTCATCCCCTTATTGAGTAAATGTGCAACCGCACATTTACTCCATTTCCTCAGGTGAGGAAACGTGCAACAGCACGTTTCCTCTCAATTCTATATTAACAATCATAACCCAATATGATATATTCAGTTCACATTAATCTTATGGAGCTATTGAGAGGAACTATGGACATTATAATTTTAAGCTCCAATA